CATCGTTGCTATGTGACCTGCAGTCTGCACGTTGCGAAACAGGGCACTGAATTAAACGGGTAGGACGGCTGTAATGTGCTGCGTGGTCATCCATTACCACTGGATCTTATTTCACCGTAACTGCGCATTTTATCGCGTCTCATGTGCTCTGAACAAGAGCAGTGAATGAGAGCCTTCTAGTTCACTTGCCACATCACTTCCATTTGATTTATTAATAAAATATATTGGAAGTAAATTCATTAAGGATCATTACAAATACTTTGTTTTAAAACTACCAAGTTTTCAATATAAACGCTGTATAGAAAAAAAAGATGCATCGATAATCGTTTTATAATCGCATCGCAGCCCTCTGAATCGTAATCGATTCGAATCGTGAGGTGCCTAGAGATTCCCACCCCTAATATATATATATATATATATATAGAGAGAGAATGAACATTTAACCTACTGTTGAGCATAGTTTTAGGAGAACTTTTAAAAAATGGTCCTATATAATACCAAAGACGAATATGTTACAAGTCATAAAACCCTTTTTCAGTGGCGATGCACCTCACTTACTAACTCACTCACTCACTCGCTAACTCACATTTAACTGGTGAAGATTTTCCCCAACAAAATTCAGTTAGTACCCCGACAGCTTGTGGTGCTTTGCATCAGTGACACTGGGTGTACCTGTTAGTACCCTTTTCACTAAGTTTGTGTGAGAGGTCTGCGGGCTTAAATAGAAAGTTTCAGATGGTCAGTTCTTCCAGAGGAACCAACCCAAACACAGACTCAGAGGAGATCCAGATCCAGATCGAGGCAGCTGTTGGAGTGCAAAGCCAGTGGGTAGCTCCAGGCTGAATGGAGCAGCTAAGCCAGCCAGTTTTGACAGCAGTGCAGGGCCAGCATGGGTGTGTGAGGAACAGAGCGAGGTCACTGAGAGGAAGAGTGTCCCCCATTTACTAAACTGTCTGGCCCCTCTGATCTGCGATTCAAAACACATGCATGTATGGCCTCCTCCTATAAGTGTTACCATGTGAAGATCCCATATCCCCCTTTTATGATGCAAGCGCTATGCAATCGCATAATACAATACACATGGGACGGAACGCGCCAGGATTTCCTCAGCTTTCTGTCCTTGCTTGGGTGTTTACAGGTCAATTCAAGTTTGTCACTGCTGTAAAGCTTCAGTCTGGTGAAATATAGACTAAATGCAATTCTCAAGAGGGAGCTTTGCACACGCTGCCTTCCATTTGACCCACTTCACATTAAACAAGTTGGACCTGGCCTGCTTTGGTTGACGTCCACAGCATGCCACTTTCCTCCATGGTCTTCCAAGTAAAACAACAGGGCAGTGACAGAAAAAGACAAATCATGCAGCTTTACTTGCTCCCTTTCCTTTTTAACCAACAGAGGTTGCAGTTATTCCTGGCAATAACAAAAAAAATGTGTAATTATTTCTCACTTGCAGCTCACTGAAACAATTCTGTCAGAAAATCAAGTTTGTGAGTAGAAAAGCTGATGTTTTATTATGGTTTCAATTTGGTGAACACTTATTGTTGTGTGTACATTTAGTTTTTGGTAAGTAAAATCATTGAGTCTGACAATGCACAGTGTTTACTGTGTAACTCTCTACATAATTAACTATTTAATTATGCCATTAAATTTTAGCAAAATGAAAGCATTAACTCCTGGCTTTTAAGGGTTAAATTCATATTATTGTGTGGCTGAGTCAGCTGGCTGTTTGAATGTTGTCTTAATCAGTACACAGCGAACCTGGGGCCAGGAACGTGCATTAATGCTTGGTTTGATTTCATAACACTGGTTACTACTGTACATGTAACCAAGGCTGAGACTCACATTCAGCAGAAACTCGATATCTCCTACACCCTTTTTCACATCAATTTATTTTTACTAGTCAAGCACTGCCAATCATTCTGTAGCCACCATGTTTCTGTGTACCTACACAGACCAATTTGGCCTCACTTTGATACAAGCCCTTTGACTTGAGTGGAAGAGGAACAAAAGTTTGATTTAAGATGATTCTCATTTCTCTGAGAAATGGGGCTTGTTTTAAGACCAGGAATTACATGATACACAGCAGCCCATCCCAACTTGTAACTGTATTTTCTCTGTTTTTAGCCCTGTGTACAAATGTAGACTTGGCTGTGTCATTTACAGTTTACAAGGGCGTTCTTGCATTTATATGTGTGAGAAACATAGAGAACCGATGTTCTGATGAATTGTCCTACCTTGTCAAAATGTCCTATAAACGCATACGTATAAGTAGTTCCCTATATAGAACTACAGGTGGGAGATCGTTGCTGTCCAAGGAAAAACGTGTATTTCCAAAATAATAACTTTATGAGAGAAGGCACAAAATTCTTCTTCTTCTAATTTTTAATGTAAGTTAATATAAAAATGTTTTATTCCAAGTGATGTTAAGACATTTCTATTGGTCTATTCACCAATTTTCACCCAATGTAGACGACAGCCACTGTGTTCAAATGATGCAAATGAAAAACAAAAAGCGACAAAAATGGACATACTTTTTTTGACAATCGATAAAAATTTTGTTGTAAATATTTTGTTGACAGCCTAAATCACCTTATCAGAACATGTTACCAGATTTAAAACTATAGGTAGGATATTTTGACCCTGTAAATTACGTTATCAGAGGGTAAGCAATAACATTAAGCTGAGCCTGTATAATACACTTGATGTTGTTGACTTCTTGGTTTCTTGAAGAACAGGAGTGGAGACTTTGTAAAAAGAAAAAGTTTAATAACGCGTCTTCGTACCAAGCAAGTCTAACTAAGCTTACAAAATTATGAACTTATTATATTCAACCATGTAAACCACACCTTCTTGTTGTCCCTTTATCTAAACGACCCAGAACCCACCTACTTGATGGGTGACTGCCTCTACCTTTGTAATTGAAATAGAGGTGTTGAGGCCCCTCCAGGAATTTACAGTCTCCCCCATCTAGGAGCCAGGATGTCTCCGAGATATCCCTTCAACAAATGGCATTGCTAGATTGGGGAGCTATAGATAACCAGATGTAAAATTGGCTAACCATTGGAGGTTGTTACATGACAAAGGGACTGCTCTCCACAGCCCCCACCCAAGAGAGATATACAAAATGCAAACGAGATTAACACAAAAGGCAAGAGAAAAAGAAGAAATTTCAAGAGAAGTTACAAAGTTAATAAGGAGAAGTTACAAACTTAATGAAAATCATTTGTCTCGACAGAAATATCCCTTATTATGGTAAGTTCTACATCTGTTGGTGCTGCATACTGCATATTCCTAGCTGTACAGATACAACAACGTATCATGGAATAAATTATCAGTAAATTTCATGATAGTACAGCCACCACGAACCCAACCAAACACTTGGCCAATCTCCTCTGTTTTGATCCATGTGGGTGACACGATTACGTAGATCATTTAGATCATTGACATACCCATTAAGATCTGCAGTGGGGTCAATAACATCAGAGCAACATTCAGGACCAACTATCACACAAACACCTCCTTGTTGAGCCAAAACATAGGCCAATGCAAATTTATTTTGTAAAATCATGATTCTATGAGACTGAAGGGTGTTAGAAATAATACCTAAAGAGTGAGCAGTATCATTCGCTAACTTCTCAATTGCATGAGATACTTCCTTTATTTGATCTAAAGCAATCATGACTCCATAATATGGAATGAGTGCACCTAAAAATCGAGACCAGAACATTTGAGTGCAAGTAAAATGTTCGATGCATGGATTTGGATCACTGGTTGCTGACGAAAAGAAAGGTTGAAGAGCATGTGTCAAACCCTTTGCATGTGTATGAACTTGATATTTGGTTGGACATTGCTCTCCATTTACTTCAAGAGTAAATGTTGCATCGTTTAAAAAATGAAATTTTGTGGTCTCATTGCTGTTAATAAATAATGAACATCAACCATTAAATCTAACAGGTAATTCACTGAAAGAAGTACTACCACATAACCAATATGTCCCTGATGGTGCAGGGATTCGGCAAAATTCATTTACGGACAGCCAATTAATCCATGCACCATTCTCATAAATGCAGTCTTGTATCGTTTTTGCCGTAAAATGTGGTTGATTTTGGGAGGTATGACTATGACTTATCTGATTAAGCTGTATCACAAAAAAACATAATGCCTCTAGATTTCCTCTAGAAATGGTGATGTAACAGAATGTTTTTCAACACGCCAGGGCAATTTAAATGGAGTTATAATATCTGTAATATTATATGATGGAGCATATGTTTGGTCACAAAATGGCATACCAGGTGTACAACACTGAGTGGTCTTTGGCCGGGTTACGTTGTGGCATGAACTGACATTGAAAATTGGAACATTAGTATGTAACACGGCACATGTATCGCAGTCAGAAATAGCATGTCCAGACCATGCTAGTCCTGCGGATACACTTACCGGGTGCGGCTAAATTCATTTACTGACAGCCAATTAATCCATGGACCATTCTCATAAATGCAGTCTTGTATTGTTTTTGCCGTAAAATGTGGTTGATTTTGGGAGGCATGACTATGACTTAACTGATTAAGCTGCATCACAAAACCACCTAATGCCCCTAGATTTCCCCTAGAAATGGTGATGTAACCGAATGTTTTTCAACACACCAGGGCAATTTAAATGGAGTTATAATATCTGTAATATTATATGATGGAGCATATGTTTGGTCACAAAATGGCATACCAGGTGTACAACACTGAGTGCTCTTTGGCCGAGTTACGTTGTGGCATGAACTAACATTGAAAAATGGAACATTAGTATGTAACACGGCACATGTATCGCAGTCAGAAATAGCATGCCTAGACCATGCTAGTCCTGCGGATACATTTATCGGGTGCGGGATACAAACATTTTGTCCTGGAAACAACATTTGTCTTGTTAGATTGAATAAAGATTGAAATGTGTTGTCACTGTCTACATTAGAGACAGGACTACCCAGGAATGGTGTGTACATAGTGAACAAAACGACAGTCCTGAAAACAAAGTTCGGATTTATTTTGATCATCTTGGTCATCTGCGAGTTTCTGGCTTTGATGTCTTGATGACTGATGATATTGTCTCTGTAGAACACTCAGATGGTCATCTGTTAGTAGAACCGGAAGTATTTTTGGCTGGTTCAGGTTGTGTGGTTCTTGGAGGTCTTTCCGCTTCTGGTAGCTGTAAAACACAAAAATACCATCAGCAGTATCTTGTTATCACAGTACAAACTACTTGGAACATATTTGTGGATGTTTGCTCTAACATTGTATTCTCTGCCACCAGTCTGACCCTACCTCACCTTTTGGGTCCTAAGGTCCATAGAACTGCTGCATCTGTGATCAGTAATACCTGAAATGGACCCTTCCATTTTTCCTCTAGTGGACCAGCAACATGATTTTTGATCATGGCCCACTGACCTGGTACAATTGCATGTCCCCACTCTGGTGGTTTGGAGATTGTTGCAAATTTTGCTGCTGCCTTGGCTGCAGCATCAGTCATACAATTGCCTTTTGTTTTTATCGAGTTAGAGGAACCATGGGCTTTAACTTTAAACACTTCAAGTTTTTCTGGAAGCTCACTAGCTGACATGAGATCATAAACTAAAGCAGCATGCTTAGTAGGGGTTGCTGCAGCTGTTAGAAACCCACGGGGATGCCAGATTTGTCCAAAACTGTGCAAAATTCCAAAACAATACATTGAGTCTGTATATATAGTTGCAGTAAGACCAGATGTCAAAACACATGCTTCGGTAAGAGCCACTACTTCAGCAGCTTGAGCTGAGAAATGGTCAGGAAGACGGCCCTGAGCTACAACTGCATGAGGCGAGCAAACAGCCCACCCTCCTCGTCTGCATCCATTCAAAACCTGAGTAGAACCATCACAAAACAAAATCATATCAGGGTTTTCTAAAGGAACCTCAGAAATACCCGAAGGAGGTGTGTGTGTTAACAATACACAGTCATGGTCATCACTTTCACCCTCATCACAACCTTCAGACAATGCTGTCATCATTAAAGATGAGGGATTGGTGATCTGTGCCCTTTGGAGGCAAATATTAGGAGCTGTGAGAGTGGTCACCCAGTTACCCCATCTCTGAGCGGTCACTGAAGTAACACGAGTGGAAGATAACAAAGACACAACAGCATGTGGACAATGCACTGTGAGAGGTTGTGACATCACTACATGGGTACAAGCAGATACAGCTAGATATGTAGCTTGTACAGCATGCAATAATGGACCAAAAACAGTGGAAATAACATCTAACTTAGCTGAATAATAATACACAGCACGTAGCCGATCACCATGGTCCTGCATCAAACAAGCAGTCATGAACCCTTCAGATTTCAACTCCTTAAAAGCCCTTTCAGCAGCATCTCTGAACTGAACCCTGTCTGTGCTTTTGAATGATCCTTTTAGCAAATCATACAATGGCTGAGCTATTTGGGCATAGTTTTCTATCCATGGCCAACAATAATTACATAGCCCCATGAAAGATTGTAATCCCCTTACTGTAGAAGGTTTGGAAACTGAGCGTATCACTGCAGCTCGATCTAGGAGGATAGACCTCTGTCCTGCTGTTACCAACTGACCTAAAAACTGGACTGAAGGTAAAGCTAACTGTGCTTTAGCCCTGTTAGCTTTATGGACATGCAAGCTCAAATGTGTCAACAATTCAGTGGTGTATACTTCCATATTAGGTGAAGCTAGCATAACATCATCTATATATACTGCACTAAGGTAGGCACCCTGACTGGACACTCTGCTTCAGCCAAATGCTGCCTTAATGCCTGATGGTACAAAGTTGGACTCAAATGCAAATCTTGCGGCAGATGCATCCACTGGAATTGCTCACCTTCAAACTGAAATACTAACCAAGGCTGACTATCTGGATGTAAAGGAACAGACCAAAACCCATTAGCCATGTCAATAACTGAAAAGACTGAATGTGTATTTGGGACCCCATCAAAGATACTACTAGGATCTGCTACCAAAGGAGTAACGCAATCAATATATGTATTAGCAATGCAATAGTCATAGGCGCCATGCCCCTGATGCCTTTTTAACGGGCCAAACTGGAGAATGAGTCACTTGGTGCCTTAATCAAAATCCCCTTATTCCACAACTCCTTAATAATTGGCCGTATCCCATTAATGGCTTCACTAGAAAGTGGATACTGTTTAGTAGTTGGTGGTGGTTTGCCTGTTAGCCGTACAGGTTTAATATCCAACAAACCACATTGATCTTTGTCTTTTGACCAAATAGGATGATTTGTGATGAGTGGATTTGCAACCTGTGCTGCAAGAACAGACAATTTAGGTTTCTCAGTCTCAAAATCTAATTGCATACTTAACTGAGAAATAGCATCCATTCCTAGTAGTGGTGTTGTCTTAATGGGAGCTACAAAATTGGCAGAGAAATTGATTTAGGACCAAAAGAAACAGGCAGGTTCTGTTTAATAGGTGTTATAAGATTCCCCAGTGACTCCAGTAATGACAGTCGTAGTGCTAATCAAAGGTAAACCAAAAGCTTTAGCCATAGATGTAGACAATAATGTGGCCTGTGCTCCAGTATCAACCAAAAAATCATATTCATTGTCATTAACAGTGGTTTTAACATACCATCTGTTGTCCTGCTCATGTGTAACTGGATGTAAAAAAGGATCTCCCAGCGGAGATATTCAGTTTAAATGCTCCAAATCCTGTGTGTGACCAGAAGACTTCTGAGTAGCTTGCTGAATAAGCTTAAGCAACTGACCTGCTACCTCAGGTGATAAAGTTTCACCTCCTGAACTGTCCTGACACTCACTTGCCTTCTCTTTACGCTGAGAATCATAATACTTCCGTTTGCAATATTGTTCCCAGTGTCCCTTTTTCTTACAGTAGTGACATGTATTATCATTTCTATTGGGAGTTTTCCTGGACTGATGGGAAGAATTTTGCAAAACAGCAGAGATAGGAAATTTTACACTTGAATCCCTTTCATATGCTGCTAGACTCTCAGACAACTCCACCGCAGTGGTTGTTCGCCAGGTTGACTTTAACAAAGGCAAAACCTTCCTCATCTCTGAAGTCAGACCATCAGCCCACTGTGCAACAGGAACCTTAGAATTAACTACGTCCTCAACAGAAGTACACTCATCATGCCCACCATGTAACATAAATGTTTCTGCAAAATGCTGCGTGTACTGATTCACAGGCTCACCCTTCTTCTGATGACACTCTACTACCTTCTGCCAACACACAGAAGAACCCATGATGTTTTTCAGAACCGCTAACAGCCCTGCATTACATTCTTTCACTGCCTTTACAGAATTAAGTTTGTCTATATGTCTCTCATAATACGACTCTTACAATTTATCCATCTCATCCCCTGTCAGTATTTGAGACATCTAATGGATGTAAAGAGTACAGCTTTGTCTTATGTGCCATTAGCATCAGAAAAGGACCCAAACACATCACTTTTGGATGGCCGAATTCTTTTGCAATGCAATCAATTTGCTCAGGAGAAAGGGGCTTGTGTTTCAGTTACTTTATCCTGTCCATCTTTTAACTTTACATGTTTTATCACTACAGGAGCAGCTTCCAGTACAGAAAGATCAAAAGTGTCGTCCTCACTGTCACTGGAAGACATGGTAGATTGCCCTGTCTTATCTTTAAATTCATCTAAAGATGGATACAACTGGTGTTTTGCTCTGTTATCTCTCTCTTTTTCTAGAACCTCAACTTTTCAAGCTTCAAGGAGAACAAGTGAGCGTTGTGTATTTTCACAGGTTTTCTGTGCACTTACAGCGGCACGTTTGTGATTAGCACATTCATCTTTTAATTTGTCAATTTTGGAACGTTGTTCTCCCAAAAGCAAAGCATGCCACTGTCTGAAAACCTGAGCACACCCCTCAAAATCTTTCTTTTTTACACATTTAGCAAGAACTGTGAAACACTGATCCTGACTCCACTCTGAGCTTTCAGGAATGTCAAACTTTTTACACAGCTTAGCCTTTCTTTCTAGACAAAACTTGTCTAGCATCTTTGTTAAATCTGCCTCAAATGCAGTTCTGTCTGCATATTGGGGAGATGTGGATTCTGCAGTATTTGGAGTGAAACCAGCTTCCTTTCTGCATTGTAAGTGCTAACACTTTAAACTTACACAATTACAAACAAAAACAACACAAAACAATAAAGTAGATCTGAACTCTTCCCCAAGTCAGGACGCCACCTTGAACTCTGATCAGGAACTAAGGAACTAGGACACACCTAATTCAAAGTAAACACTGTTGCTTGTGTAAAGACCAAAAAATATTTCTATATATTTCTGTGCCTTTCCTAGATAAACGAAGAGACAATCTACAACAAGGACAGAATCTCTAAAACTGTCCCTCGGTAAGAAACACCTTTCTACCAGATTTACGGCCGACAAACAGGAATAAGTCATGCAACCTCTCCATACACATCATATGGAGGAAACTACATATAAGACAGACAACACTCCTACTCTGGCTGTGTGTGCTGTGTTTTGAGTTTTCTTTCACTCACCGTTAGTGTAAGAGGTGAAGGTTCAGCGTCTTTACAACACAGGATCAGCCACCAGCAGACCGTCACCGGATTCTTGTTTTCCGTCCGACTGCAGCAGATGTTTACAGCATCAGACATCTGAAGAGCTGGAAAACCTTGCAGAGCTCAGATCCCACTGACTACGCCAAAAAATCTGTTGACTTGTGCTGGCAAGCGTTGGCTTCTTGAAGAACAGGAGTGGAGACTTTGTAGAGGAAAAAGAAGTTTAATAACGCACATCTTCGTACCAAGCAAGTCTAACTAAGCTTAAAAACGCTGAACTTATAGTCAACCATGTAAACCACACCTTCTTGTTGTCCCTTTGTCTAAACGACCCAGAACCCCCCTACTTGATGGCCGACTGCCTCTACCTTTGTAATTAAAATAGAGGTGTTGAGGCCCCTCCAGGAATTTACAGTCTCCCCCATCTAGGAGCCAGGATGTCTCTGAGATATCCCTTCAACAAATGGCATTGCTAGACTGGGGAGCTATAGATAACCAGATGTAAAATTGGCTAACCATTGGAGGTTGTTACATGACAAAGGGACTGCTCTCCACAGCCCCCACCCAAGAGAGATATACAAAATGCAAACAAGATTAACACAAAAGGCAAGGGAAAAAGAAGAGAAGTTCAAGAGAAGTTACAAAGTTAATAAGGAGAAGTTACAAAGCTAATAAAAGCAAATAAAGTAAAATAATATTTAACAATGTAAGTGTAGCAAACTCAAAATGAAGAACAGCCAATACATACTGGTTCTGTCATTCCACAAACATTAGTAAAACGGGCAGAAATGCTAATTAACGTCACAGAGATATTCATATTATAGCGTTGGGGGAGTCCTAAAGAACTCAGACAAGTGAAATATTGAGTCCAGGACTCGGCTCAGAAGGGCTTAAAAAAGGAAAGGGGAAAATACAGCTCAAGGCTAGCGCTTGGCTTTGCGCAGTTAGCGCTTCCTCTTGCTGTCTTAGCTCAGTCTGTTTACTACTAGGCCCCATGAGACGCTGCCACCGCAAATATAAAGCCCTTTAGAATAAGGCCAGAAACATACTCAACACAAGTACGCAAACATAAATGACAGCGCATGGCCAGCATACATTACAAACGCATGGTGAGTTTGTACAGAAGGGCCAAGTGTTTGTAATGTGTGCTGGCCAAGTGTTTGTAATGTATGGCCAGCACACATTACAAACACTTGGCCCTTTTGTACAAACTCACCGTGCGTTCTTATGTTGCTGTAGTGGTTAAAACACTCAGTACTGAAGGGAGTGATAGAGGACAAATCAGAGAGGGATCTACTGTTATTCCAACAGCCTCAAAAGCTAAATGTGGACAAGTAGGGGAGAGTGAGCTGCTTTACGTCTTCTGCTGGAATGGAAAGGCAATAATGTATCATTTTTTTAAGACTTAACTGCTCATCTGCTATGGCAGTAGAAAAGGCACGCTGGTGGTAGAAGACTGCTTGGACAGACTTGACTGTTGTTATAGTGCCTCTTGCTGTAACACTCAGAAAGCAGCCTGCGCTTGCGTTGCGTTGAAATGCATCGTGACACATTTTTATACTATGAGCAAAACACCGCCTGCGTAGTTTGCAGCGGCATTCTTGCCTGAAGTACATTTCGAGCCTAAGGGTGCCTACACCCTAGACAACGAAAGTACAAAGTGATAGACGCATACGCCTGTGTAGCTGAGGTATTATTACTTTTTTTTATTATTTGCTTTTCCCTGTTTTATTTGTTTTGCCGTAATAATGTTAGGAATATTTGTAATGTGAACTTCACTAAAACTCTATTTTGGTTTTCTAATTGATGTTTTTGTGTAATGAAAAGTTAATAGTTAAATAGCTAGACATTTTCTCTTACAGTTTTTGGTTCCTCCCATGTGTTGTAGCTGGGGCCTCAATTACTGTGACACCCAGGGTAAACCCACGCAGCGGTTTTACCCAGTTTGTTAGAAGCATAGTGGATGCTTGTACGGGTAAGACGTGCTGAATAGCTCTCTTCCTAAAGTGTCTTAATAAGCCTATAAAAGCCATGAATTCTGTTTAAACGGCACATAAAATGTAGAGCTTAGAGACACAGAATGTGTTTAAACGGTGTGTGGTAATTTTAGGCTGAATTTGAATGGAACTTTGATGTTTAGCTCAGTCACGTTTTGGCTATCTGTAGGGAGTGGGAGAGAGCTGCTCTGGCTGCGTGAGCTTACTACTGCCCCATGCTACTTTCATTCAGGTATGTCCGTGTCTTGTGTGTTTGTAAATGGGTTTAAATTAAATATTTTGAGATCTGTTCGGTTCTAATATGTTAGTTAAGACGCTATGCGGTCACAATGTATTTTTTAGTTGTACTAATGTCGTTTTTTTTGCTCTATGTTTCCCGAGCGCCATCTGGTGGCCTTATTGTGTACAGCATTTGTGCTGAAACCAAGCTGCACAGTTAAGAGTAGCTGAAGTGTCTGCAATACTTTAAACATTGTAAATTGAAATTCATCCTAGACTGTGTTTAAATTGTAATTGAATCCACCTCATTTTGTTTCATATATTGTACAAATTTATTACACGTTTGTGTACACGATAAGAAGCATAGTGGATGCTTGTACGGGGAGTGGGAGAGAGCTGCTCTGGCTGCGTGAGCTTACTACTGCCCCATGCTACTTTCATTCAGGAATAAATCTTCAGATCTCCACTTCCTGGGTGTGCGTGCCTGGTCTCAACTACTGTTTCGAGTCTGCTACATAATTCTGGTGCCGTGACCCGGATTTGCCCTTGATCAGCCCCTGCCGATCGCCGGGGTCAGCAGCGTGACAGCCGAGATATCTATTGGCAGGCCAGTGGATACACCCTGTGATTGTTTAGTGATAAATGACTCATTGACATTGCCAATCTCTCTTCCATGCGCACCCACAACTTATGAGCTACTTTTTTCCCACCTTCTTTGATTTATTTTCTTATTTTATTTTGCTCATTACTTCATAAGCAAAGTTTACACACGGTTAATGACATGGCAGGTAAAGAGCATGAACTGTATGATGTTTGTACACCAGTCATTGGTAGGGGCAGAGGGCTAATTAGCACAGCTGAGAGTATTAAAAATAAGACCAGAGTGCTAGCTTATGATGAACCCTTAGATCTAGAATGCACTACTGATAAGGGACCTGCTAAGCCTATGTCCTCAACCCCTTCCGCCAGTAATGATAACACTACGCAGCAACTGCTTGAGCTAATTGGAGAGTTAGGGACCCAAATAGGTGACTCTATAGTTAACCGCCTGCTAGCCAGTCACAGTCCAGTAATCCAGACACATTCATTGTCGTCACATTCATCAGAAACACCTAGAGCTGAGCCTTCCAGCACCACCCTTGACCTATCCAAACTAAATGTAGTTGTCAAATCTGATGTTAAAGAGCCACCCATGTTCCGTGGTGATGGAACTGATAAGTACAACATACAGGAATGGATAGAAATGATGGAAATATACTTACACAAGCGTGGTTGTACTAACGCTCAACAGGTAGATGAGATTTTAAGCCACCTGCTAGGTCGAGCCAAGAGTATTGTCAAAGTGGGGCTGAAAAGCAGCTATACTTATGCAGACATTTGCGCTGAGACAATCTATGATGTCTTGAAACGCTATTTCAGCGAAAGTCCTGGGTCATGCCTGCCCTTGGCCGATTTCTATGCTACACGGCCCAACCTGAAAGAGAGTCCTGTAGACTATTGGGTCCGTTTAAACATAGCAGCTGAGGCAGCTGGCAGCCACTTACAAAGACAGGGAAGCAAAATGGAGAATATAAACTCAGAAATTGCAATGATGTTCATCAGGAACTGTCCCGACCCTGACCTTTGCAGTGTCTTCAGGTGCAAGCCTATCAGCAAATGGACAGTTACGGATGTCCAAGAGGCAATCGACGAACATCAGAGGGAGAGCCATTCTAGAAAATTGTCTCGTGTGCCTAGCACAACATGTGCACTAAAAGTCAGCCAGTATGGCTAATTCTTTTGAAACTGACCGAGAGGAGTGTACAGGTGTAAACACAGCAACATGTATCCCAAGCAGTTTTGCTAAAGCGAATGAGATGGTGTCAGATCTTAAGCCTTTGGAACGAGTGCTCAACATGCTGGAGAAAGTGTTAGAACGTACAAACCAGTCCACCCCTGTGGTAGTCAGGCCTCAAGAGGTGCCTTGGATGCGACATTCTCTCTGCTGTGTCTGTGGGGACAAATCACACTCCACTCACTCACACTGCATGAGAGAAAAGCGTTGTCTCGCTTGCCTAGAAGTTGGACACCAAAGACGAGAATGCTCTAAAACCTCTGCACCTGTTGCACATCAAAACAATAGTCAGCATCAGGGAAACTGATAAACTCACATTTGGGAGGGGACAATGTGAGTGGGAAGAGTCAAACCCTCAATTATGAAAATGTGATGTCTGCATATGAAGAGAGTTGTAGGTCTGCCACTGGTGACCAAGTAGTTTTGTTCCAGAACATAACGAAATTAGAAAAAGCAAACAGTCTGTTCTATACTGATGTGCTGGTAAATGATGAAGTGCTTTTACGAGCGCTACTTGATAGTGGCTCCATGACATGCACCATGAGCGAAGCAGCCGAACAAGAATTACAAAATGCGGTGCTGTCACTTGAGCTTAGGGAAGTGAAGACAGACATCATGCTCGTTGGCTGCAGAGGTGTCAAAGTCCAGCCCAAGCTAAAGATGGAGGTGTATGGTCATGTCATCAGTGTTCCCACTTTGGTTGTCCCAGGGCAACAAGAACATCTCATACTTGGCACAAATGTCATTAAGTACCTCATTGGTCAACTTAAGCAGACCCCCACATATTGGCGTGTTATGAGCAAGCCAGAGACTACGAATGAGCTGGAAGTAGAGCAGTTTTTGAATATGCTGTCTGGCCTTAAAAGGTGGAAGGGTGACAAAATTCCTGATGTTGGCGCTGTTAAGTTAATGCAAGCTGTCACCTTGCTCCCAAAGCGTGAGCATCTTGTGTGGGGAAAATTGCCTGTAAGTTCTCCTGTCTCCACGGGGAGCACTATACTTGTTGAACCACCAAGGTCTTCAACCCATAAAAAGAATGTGGTTGTAGGAAAGGTTGTGGCTTCCATGACTGGTGACAGATGGGTCCCCCTGCGGATTTTAAATCCATCTGACAAGCCCGTGACGTTGAAGAAGAATTCCAAAGTAGCTGACGTTTTCCCCTGTGTGGCACTGGAAGACCTTGATTCAAGTATGGAACAAATACCAGATGAGGAGATAAAAGTGCAAACTCAGGCAATACATGCTGCAGCCAGCAATGGCTCGGATTCAAGTTTCCAGGTTGCTTTACGGAAGCTTGGCCTGAGTGA